CAACAATATATTGTAGGTCTTTCGTCTTGCTTTCTTCTACACTACATGTTTCGGCCGCAAACGGCCGTCATCAGGTGTATACACTCACGTAGCTGTTACACGCACCCAGTTTAAAACTAAAAACATACAGGTCTTCCCAATTGTTCCCTTCGTCGCTGCTAACAGGATCTAATTCGCTGATATTTGTCTGATTCGTACTTCATCTTTGTCACCCACACACGTCAATTTTGACCTTCATGAACTGGCACTTTTAAAATCTTCAGTTCCAATTTTAAAAATTCTTTTAAATTTTTTTCCCCCTACAATTTAAAATTTAAAATTCTCAGGGTTATTCGCCCCACGTCTATAGTGCTGCAGCGGCTACTTCTTGTTTTCAGCACTGTTCAGGTGTTATTCTGTGTAGGCTTCCTGTGTGTGTGCGTGCCGCCACTTATCTTTACTACCTTTAAGACTTACAATAAATTGTTGCACTTAGGACGGAGTTTATATCATATATCGTATAGAGTGCAACAGGATGCTTAAATATAATATTGTAAATATTCAGTGAGTTCAATATTAATAAAAATAATGTACATAGATATAAGTGTGTAGATCTATTAATAGACAGAACTTGACAGAATTTACATACGGTTATTCTGCCACAATCCAAAACAATGTCTAGTACCTTCTATTTTTGCTTTTAACTACGTACGATTAATCGTCTTTCTTTTATTCTGTGTTATTTTATGACAGCGTAAATATATATTTGAATGGAAGGGTGACAGTTAAGTGATAAATTAGAAGAAATTTGGAAGGAAGCAATCATGAGCCAAGCTATATAGTATTTCAACATTTTCCTGGAGGGACTGAGAAAATCCACAAAAAAGTCTTGGGAGCCGATTCCCTGGTCGAGATTCGAAGAGAGTACGTCTGAATACTCGTATAAGACGTCACCTCAAAGCCAATTCTATAGGTTATAAATATCATCTTAAAGAAACAATAATAATAGACCCTTAAATATAAAAATGTTAACAATAATTCACGAAAGAATGGGTCATTTCCAAACCCGTTTCTCCTGCAAAGTATGTTTTCCGGTTTAACGCTTCTTTCCAATATCACATCCCGATATTATTTCGAAATTAGATTTTGTTACATTTGCTCTACTAGGAAATTTATAGATTTCAGTAGTACTGTGTTCCATAATTCAAGTTAAAACATTTCAAATTTAGCTAATAAATCTATGTAGATCCAAATTTCATCCACAAGGAGATGTGTGCAACAGATTTTCTTGTTAGAAAATTACAACTATTTTAAGGTTCAGTTATCAGTACGTAAGGGGCATAAAGGTCTACCTCTTTTAGTTGAAAACATAGCTGCATGTTTTCATGTAAAACCGACACCTCCCTGATTATGTTACTGAAAAGAGGATTACAAAATTTCAGTCACCGTGAATCTTGCTGTATCGCCATGTAATTAGACGCAACGCAAATTACCAGAACTACTTAGAGAAGAGCTCCGACTTCGTACAGCTATTATCTTAAATTCGAAATAAACAATTTACATCACAAAGCAGACCAGATTAAGTAGACTGTTGCATCACTGAATATAAAGATGGTTATCTCGTGTTTTAATTTGTTCTCTTCACCAGGTATTATTGCGACTATTGAATTAAGGAGCACGAAGAGGAGAAACATGTACCATACAAGGGGAATGTGAGAAATGTTGATAAAACTGTGGTCCGAATACCTGTGGAAGAAAAACAATTAATTGCATCTTAAATTATTATGATGCGAAAATGTCGGATATGTTCAACTAGCTTAGAATAGGGTCTAATGGCGAGCTTTTGTGAATACGGTAATGAATCTTTGTAGTCCTTAAAATACGGAGAACTTCATGATTAGCTGGAAAACTATTAGTTTCTCGTGGAGGGTTTTGCTACATGGAATTAGTATTTCAGATACATAATCTTTATGATTTATGAAAAGTATGTGATGATGAGAATATTTTGACCCAAGGGAGGAGAATTAATAAGTGCCTGAAGAAAATTGCACAGTGCGGAGTTTCGTAACTTGTAATGTTCATAAAAGATAATTAGAATGGTCAAGACAAGGAGGAGGAGCTGGGCAGGGCATGAAGTACGCATGGGTGAGAGGAGGAATTCATATAGGTTTTCGATAAGAAAACCGAAAAGAAAAACACTAGAGAGATCTTGACGCAGATGTGAGAATCCTAGAGAAAACAAATGTGGACTGAAATTATCTGGCTGAGGTTAGAGACATGACGGGCTCTTGTGAACGCAGCAATGAACCTTAAGTTTCCTCAAAATATTAGGAATTTCTTGAGTGTTTACGTAATTTTTTACTTCTCAAGAAGAGCTAGGCTCCATGGAGTTAGTAAGGCTTATCTCTGCATTATTCTGCTTTAAATTTCTGTTATGGTCTCTGCAAGAAAGGAGTTCAAATGTTCCACATGTTACCGTGCACATTCCAGAACTGATCTCAGACAACAGGTGCCCATTATCCCAATCATAAGGATTACAACAAGATGACGAGGAAGAAGAAGAAGATAAAAAACTGCATAATACCATAGCAAGCATTACAACAGCAAGACAGCCTCTGCTCACTTCCCTTACACACACTGCGTATATTACTTCATAAATTGCCTTCGCAGTCCATTACCAACGTAAAGCAAATCGTAATGAATAAGATTCTTCTAAGTTAATTGTTTCTACATAAAGAATATTGTAATCATTTTATTCTGCGGTGAGCGAGATACTCAATTTATAGTAATAATATGGCTGGAGCAATTTCCTCCCTGTTCTACAATACTCTCAAAATATCTCCTTCTTCCTCAATCAGCTTATGAATCTAAGTACCACGTAGAAGACATAGCGAACATCATGAAGTTCGCAGCTCTATTTATATCTCTTTCTCTCTCTCTCTCACACACACACACACACACGCAAGCACGCACACACACAAACAAATAGAAACAAACCCCGTGGTTTTATTCCGCAAGCGAACTATACCGACCGAGCGACCGCAGCTGGTCGGCGAAGATAGTGCCAAATTTAGCAGATAGAGGGTGTCAACAGGTCAGCGCAACGAATCCCCACGGCCGTAAATTTCGGTTTTCCGGACCGGAGCCGCTGTTTCTTTGAAATAGCTCCTCAATTATCATCACGAGCCTGAGTGGACCCCGTTCCAGACCAACTACTTATCAGAAAAAATCTGGTAGCGACCGGAATCGAATCCGGACTTCTGGATCTGTAGCCAGGAACTCTAACCACTAGACCACAGAGGTGGTGGCGTGCAGTTTAAAAGTCGGAATATCTAAGTAAGAGTTGGCGTCCATTACTAGACAACGGCTTGTTAAACACATGGACGGGATAACAATCTGTTGTCTACCAATGGAAGCCCACTCTAACTCAGATATTCCGACTTTTAGGCGGCACGCCACAATATGATATACGTGGGTATGCTGAAAAGTAATGCACACATGCTTGTATAGCGCGAAGAAAAACAAATAGCAAGATCGGGCAAAAAGTACATTAAAGTACAATTCTTAAGTTTCAAAAGCATATATGTATTATTCAACATAGTCACCATTAAGGCTAACACATTTCTCCCAGCGTGTAACAAGTTTTTTCATTCCGTCACTGAAAAATTCTTCCGACTTTTCTCGAATCCAGGACTTGACAGCTGCCTTCACCTCATCGTCCGAGGTGTAATGATTACCCTTGAGGTCTCTCTTGAGTAGAGGAAAAAAATAAAAATCGCAAGGCGCAAGATCGGGGGAATAAGGAGGGTGTGGAATCGGTTCAAACTGCAGGTTTCGCAGAGCCTCTTCGGTTGCGCGCGAGGTGTGTGGACGAGCGTTGTCATGTTGCAAGATTATTGACGCCAGGCTGCCTCTAACACGACAAACTCGACGCCGGATGTGTTTTAGAGTCTTTATGTACTAAGAAGAATTTACCGTTGCCCCTCGTTCCAGAAAATCGGTCACATAAACTCGGTGAGCATCCCAAAACACAGTCAAAAGAAGTTTTTTGGCGGATGGTTGTGTTTTGAACTTTTTCGCCTGAGGAGAAGACGGATGTCGATATTCAGCGCCCTGTCTTTTCCGGGTCGTAACGATGGACCCATGACTCGTCCCCCGTCACAATATTCAAAAGAAAGTCGTCTCCTTCGTCTTCATCAACAGTTATGGCTTTTCCAGTCTCGCAACTACGAAATTTTATTGCCCATCGATTTACAGTAGACCTATCAACAGCATCTTCGCCATAAGCAGCCTTTAAACGACGATGAATCTCAGTAGGAGTCACTTTTTCAGCAGTTAAAAATTCGATAACAGCACGCTGTTTAACTCGCGTTGACATAGCACTAGAACACGTCTCCATACTTCCGCTTCTCGAAATACACTGGATGAACGCAACGACCTAAAACCTGCGCATGCGTATTGAGGGGGAATGTTACTTCCACATGCCACCTGGAGCGCTTCTGAAGGTAATTTCTTTCGCGCTCTACAAGCATGTGTGCATTACTTTTCAGCCTACCTACTAAATTAGTGTGACAGTAAGTGGAAAATTTTCTGGGGTATTATCTAGGTAATATAGGAAAAAAATAACATTACATTTCGGTGTATTTTAATATTACATTAAGCATTAAGAGATTGGAACATCACGATGTGGACAGACGACTTGTATTATGAGTCTAAACGTTGGATGGTCTTAGCTGTGATACTTGTGATCCACACTGAATAAGCAACCTGACAGAGCGTAGCTAAGCTGCTATGAGCGTGGTTTTTTTATTCAATATTTCCACACGGATATCTCGACAATGCCTGCACATAAGTTACGAAAGCTTCATTTCACGACATCCACGTTTCAGGACCTATGTGGGTAATTGTAACACGTCACACTTTGTAGCTTAATGTTATCAATTGAAATAATTAAACAAATAAAGGAAAGATTGTCAGGCGAACTTGAATGTCCCTGACGGTCATGGGTCTCTCTGTTTCAGGGGCATTGCTAAAGCCGGCGAACCCAACAACTTACTCCCTCAGACGCCAGGAGCGCTCTACATGGACCCAGCAGTTCACCTCATACTCCGGCGAAAGCAGAGGCGCTTAGTTCGGGAGAACCCCGGCGTCTTAGTAGCAGTTGCCAAAGGCGCCAACCAGGCCATTCAAGAATGCCAGTTCCAGTTTCGTAACCGGCGATGGAATTGTTCCACAAGAAATTTTCTCCGTGGCAAAAATCTGTTTGGAAAAATTGTTGACAGAGGTAAGTTCATAGTTTTCTAGGCTGTGTATAGGTATATGTGAGTATGTATATTTATAAACGTAATCTCTATTATATCTCTGTAACCTAGTATCAGCAATTAACTCTTCGACAGACTTTTGCTAGAAGTTGCAGGAAATTTCCACCTTTCGTTAAAATCATAAAGAATAAAGGACGTTTATATGAAGATGCATATTCTTTTGTGGGGAAATGCGGGGCGTGACTGGGTAATTATATATTAGACCGAAATATTCCAATAAATAAAATGTATGATTTATGTCCGATACGCTGTCTTCATAAGTCTTTTTCGAGACATATTGCCACGTGTATGGAAATAGGCGTGACGAAAATAACGAGTTCTAGTTCGGATAAGTGGATTTATTAGCACTTCGTTTACAATCTCTCTTAATTACAATTAATACAACACTATCGCTGATTTATATACACTTTCCAGTTCACCGTTGCACATGCAGTAATATTCTCCGTCTTCGTTAGTCGTCTCCTGGCAACGGATCTCAACGTAGGGACTAGCACTACAAATCACTCTGGAACTTCGGGATTCAACTAAAAATCCTCTGGGCTCCTCTTAGCCGCAAGCGGAATCGTGTTATATAGCCGCGGCACGGGCAACGCAGAAAACACATTCTACTTTTGCGTAGCGCAGACCACACAGCAAACTAAGTGTCGTGATAGCTAAGCACTGTTGGGTTGTGACGTCATAGCGCCTGCGGGGAATTGTGTTTATCGGGCAGTTTGACTAGAAGCGGGTTGCATAACACTGTTGTTCCATCGTTGCGTGGGTGTATTACTTAGAAACGGTTGTTTCTGTGGCTTAACCGTTATTTCATGGAGCAAATACGACACTATATNGAGAACTTTTTAGAGGATCACAGAGATCACAGAGGTGGTTATTAAGCGCCATATCTTCTGGGCTATGACAACGTGTAGTCCGCTGAAAGTCAATCGACGTTCGGGACGAAAAATCCAAGTAATTAAAAACTGAGTAAACCAAGAAAGAAATCAGTGTGAAGCAGAGAATTTTGACTGTTTCACGGTGATAAATTTCAATTTTCAACCATAGTGACCCATAATAAACCCCACTTCACTTAAAGCCATTATTGAATTTCTGCATGTACGGTACAGGAGGAGTGCATATAGGATATTGGCAGGAAAGCAGGAAGGAAAAAGACCACTAGGAAGTCGAAAAAGTAGGTGCTTGAACAATATTAAAATGGATCTTAGAGAGATAGAATGGGATGGTATGGATTGGTTTCATCTAGCTCAGGATATGGACCAGTGAAGGGATCTTGTGCACACGGTAATGAACCTTCGGCTTCCATAAAATGTTGGGAAGTTCTTAAGTAACTGCATAAGTGGCGGCTCCTCAAGAAGGGCCCAGCTCCTTGAGTGAGTGAGTGAGTGAGTGAGTGATGACATAAATCGCTAATCGGATATTGTAGGCAGGTCGGATATAAGCTTAATATGCTGTAAAAATTACCGTTCATCAACTTTGTGTTCTGCGTTGTGGATTACTAAGTTATTTCTGTGCTTAAGTAATTAAACACCACGCCATGAAGACGTACGGGGGAGTGGATGCATAGATCTACGTTTTCTTGACCCCGGTACTAGTTGGAGGTGAGTGGTCAGCTTCATGCCCCGTCCGCTTTACTCCCTTCAAAGATCATCCGGCACCCATTGGATAAGAGGTTGGTTGTGCCCCAGATCCCGTCTGGACGAGATGAAGAAGAGAAAATTCTTGACCCTATCGGGACTCGAACTCCGACTCCTCGGTCATCCAGTCCGTAGCCAGTCGTTATAACGACTACGCTATCCCGGTTCAGAGTTTTGATTACACAGTTTCCAAAATTTTGATCGGGTCTTACATGTTGTGAAAGAAGCTACGAAGAAAATTCATTGCTTATAATTTTCAATAAGGGTTAAAACTACTGAATTTATGAACTGTAGATATTTCTAGAATTATGTTTACAATTTTATAGCATTTTGTTCAATGCTTATTTCAGTTCCCACTGAAAAGGGTAGTGTAACCTCTTGGCAAATGAACTGCTGTAAGAAATCAGGCCACAGATACGAGTATATAAGTACAGGAACTTTAAGAATAAAAGCAACAGGGTAAGAGGCAGACTTACGTCCATCTGTTCTACAAGCAAAGTAAACATCTGTTCTGAAGTAAAACTGGATTTGCTTGGGCAATTGTGACAACTAATCCTGCTATTGTCCAAATGTTGTCCTGTAATGGGTACTAATATTTCACCCCCTTATTATGTAAATGGATGTTCATTGGAAGTTGTGTTGTTGTGAATTGACATTTTACGTGGCTATTGAGACCTCAGGGCTTCGGATAGTTCAGCCTCACAAAAACCGGACAAGGAAAAAGTTACATGCAAAAACATTGCGTAGAGATAGGAAAAATAAAGCGTATTATTTGAATAGATTTCAAATGTTCGAACAAACATTACAGATCAAAGGATTCAGAGACCCGGAAGGATGATGATGTCGCCAGTCTTATCTTGTGCTTTGTGTCACGTAGAAACATATATACCACTAATCCATACAAAATGCGTCTTTGTATCCTTCAATAGTGCCCCCTCTCCTGTAAACACAGAGCCTGTCTCCTTTGTTTGGGTACATCCCATACACTGACGCTGTACTCTGGATTCTCATCTTTCATTACTCTGCAATGATTAGGTCTCAAACTAGTGGTAGAATCAGTGAACACAAAGAAGCAAAGAAACAGCCCTTTTCTGTACACTGATGTTTGAAAATGACCCTTAAGGACAATTCTTTTCTGTTATAATTTTATGCCATACAATATATGAGATTAAATATAATTCCGGTAATATTTATATTTGCGTATTCTATATCAGCGTCTGGCGAATCAGGCAATCAGAAATTAAATGACTGAGTTCTTTTTGTTCGTAAGATTGTAATAATGTGCGAAATTAAATTGTACTGACCCAACACACTTTATACGACGCACGGTAATTTTCTCATTAGTGAAGTGGCAATGTCATAAATTTATGACCTTCTGTTTTCACTGTCATAAATTTTACCGTTCTCCAGAAACAATACATACAATAGACCTTATGTTTTCACTGCCATTAGTTGTACCGTTCTCCAGAAATATAGGATTACATACAATAGACCTTATATTTTCACTGCCATTAGTTTTACCGTTCTCCAGAAATATAGGATTACATACAATAGACATTATATTTTCACTGCCATTAGTTTTACCGTTCTCCAGAAAAATAGGATCACATATAATAGACCTTCAGTAACTTGGTAAGCGGTGATTGAAATCAAAATGTGAGGTCTGATCACGTTAAGATATTGTGTTTATTTATCTTTCGATGTTATTAACTAATTTTATTTTTTGTTATTTCGTTTTTTTCATACTGTCATTTTAATTCTTAATGTGGGCACATTCACACAATTTAAATGTATCTATATTAGTTCGTATTATGCACTACAGCGATTGCTTGGGCGTATAGGAAGTTCACGAAAGGAGATACCCGCTTAGTTTTATAGTTCACCTGGTTTCTTTCCTTGCCTTTTTCGAATCGGCAGGATATAATAGTTTTAACACTCTTGATTATATTCGGGGGGCACGCGGTAGCATCGTTGGTTGAGACACTATGTTACAAGCCGGATGGTGGCGGGTTTAAGTCCCGATGAGGTGATTGGATTTTTTTTTTTCAATTTACCTAATTCTTCCAGCTGCACTATGGCCCTGGGGTTGACTCAGGCTCTAACAGAAATGAGTACCAGGAATATTCTTGGGGGTAAAAGGAGGCCGTCGCGTAAGGCTGACAACCTTTCCGCCATCTTTGAGCTGATTGTTTAGAAAATGTGGGAACCTCACATCTCTCAACCCTACGGGTCTCCACGCCCTGTTGCAAGGTTGCCTTTACTTGGGTACATTCAGGTATAGGCCTATTTGAAATGAGTTTGTGTAAAGATCAACTTTACTTTACTAAGACTATACTTTAAGAATTGCTATACACAAATGGTATTTAGTGAGTCGACCTTTCTTCTTTTCTTTCAATATACACGTATATTTCTCTCAGCTTCCTTCTTGTCTTCTTCCTCAAAGATGTTTACACAGCACATTTTATTTTATTACCTTCTGCTGTTCGTGTTGAGAAGGGTTAAGGAATTAAGCTACGTGTAAGTTTAGAAAATGCATAGCGCTCTGAGGCTCCGAACTTTACATTTATTGGATACCTACTTGTGGTCTACACCATTTCGGACTCTTCCAACTATGATCTAAAGACAAAGTATCCAGAGAAACATCTTCATGAGAATCCATATGAAGGTGCATATTTCTTGTATACGGTTTACAATCCTGAAAGGGGTTCATTTTGGTTTTATGCACCTGTTACAATATTAAATAAGTATGAAACAATTCATTATATATTAAATAAAAAGTAAAAGTAAAGCTATCCCTATAACAGGCCGTGAAGGCCCATGGGGTTTTGAGACGTTGAGGCTCCCACACTATCTAGACAATCGGCTCAAAGATGGCGGTAAATTTGTCAGCCTTACGCGCCGGCCGCGCTTTACTCCCCAGTAATATTATTTAATTATTTCCTGGTACTCATTTCTGTTAGAGCCTGATTCGACCCCAGGGCTATAGTGCAGCTGGAAGGATTAGGTCAACTGAAAAAATCCAATGACCTCATCGGTACTTGAACCCGAGACCTTCTGGCTTGTAGCATAGTGCCTCAACCAACTACGCTACCGCGTGTCCCAACTTCATTATATTAAATAGTTGCATTAAGGCAAGAAATTAGGTGTTAGATTCTTATCCAGTTGAAACATTACAAACTACTTATCCCGGAATTAAAATAATAAGAAAGGAAATTTTGCTTTGTTTAGAAACGTAATGGCCAAGAGTTGTATCGCTAGAGAGTTGTCTTAATTAAAGAAACAACTTTTATCGTTCTGAAATTTGTGGTCGTGCGCAGCCTGTACTAACTTTT